GGGGGGGAGCCTACATTATAGATGCAGTTATTTTGAGATGGAGTGACATGGTTCCAGAAACAATAAATGTATATAATAGATTTATAAAGGCTGTGATGTGTATCATATCTCTACTTACCAAATGCCGAGAAAAATGATTTATATTGGCAATCATACAGAGAGTTCAAAAACTCTGAAAGATGTGGGATTTTCCCAATCACTGTCAAGATCTCAGGAGCATCCACCACCTGCCAAATTCAATTAAAATTAGAAACACTGAGGCATAATCAGCAGGAGATTTAGACGACAGAAGACCAAATCATAACCTCAAATACCTTTTGCTTGAGGGAAACTCTATCCAGTGATATAATGCTTGTAAGGACAGTATAAAATATGAAGGTGTCATATGGGAAAAGTTCATATGTAGTGAAGGTTGAAATAGAATCTAAAAATAAATCGGCTGCCTTCTTGAAATTTCTAGTGGACAAGCAATACAAGCCTTCATAAACCTTTAAACGGTTCTTCCTTTCCCAATCACCTCCCTCTTCAAACAAGCTGTCATAAAGACATAAACACTTGTAATGAAAAAAATACAACTTCTATGATTTTTGACAAGGCAGAACCAAAGAAAAAATGCAATTAAAGAATTCATGTCTTTACTTCTTTGCTTTGTCAATGCTCTTGGAAATGAGATCAAAATCCATGTAGAAAAATGCAAGCTGTAAAGTATAGAACACCAAGTCCATCCTTTGCCCAACTGCAACTGTTTTGCCTTCTGTCACCTTGAGTTGTTCCAATGCTTTATCCTGGTTCAAAAGGGGATGGGTGTATGAGTAAGATATTCACCAAAAAGAAAATAAACAAAACAAAACAACTGTTGCAAAAAAAGTTGGAAGTCATTGTTAATCACCTTGTCACCAATCCGAATGTAGAACAAGGACTTAGCTAAATGAGCTTCTCGAACTTCACTTTCACCTAAATTTTCTTCAGCATCAGCAATCCTATAAAACAACCAGAACTGAACCATATCAGAAGAGCAACCAGGCGCTCTGCAGTTTTTGAATCTGAATAGCATGCATAAAGCAGAATACGTGCTAGTAGTTCAGCATGACCATCTGAACCATAAGGGTGTCCCATCTTTTGAGACCGTATAGCTTAGATTCTACAGAAAAGATCTCAATCCTTCTATGATAAGACCCATCAACAACATTTAAGCTGTTATTCATCTATTCACAATAACATCCACAATCCATGAAAAAAAAGGTGGAGAATCAAGTTCGCAAAAATTCGTTTGTTGAAAGGTAGTTGAGATCTTATTTTTTATTAAAAAGAAAATATGCATGAAGAGACTAAGCTCATAATAATCATCATAGCCAAGACAGAGAGTAAGACACTCAAACAATGCTTCTTAGTTGTATAGTTACATACACATCCTCAGAAGTGCATTTTAATTAAAATTTCAAACAATCTATGATAGACACTAATTAAATTTATTGTCCCCCATCTTAATCACACTATATTTACTTCTTGCAAATGCAAGCATGTGCGATCACCATAGAGGTAGACACATTAAACTTGCTCCCATTTGAACAATCAAAAGAGCAAGTGTTGCTATCTCCATTTTGAGTTCCTAAGCCAAGAGTAGAATATCATAAAAGAAAACTGTCATTGGCCTAAGAAAATATGTCAGAAATTTCCTGTATTTAGTGAACAGACAACAGATAGTAATGATTCCTTCAATAGCATCTTCTAAATCTCAAACCAGCACTTCAGTAGGATCAATGACAAATTGAAAGGCATTATGGCATTAAAATTTTTAGTGCAGACAACAGATAGTAATGATTCCTCCAACAGCATCTTCTAAATCTCATACCAACACTTCAGTAGGATCTATGACAAATTGAAAGGCATTATGGCATTAAAATTTTTATTGAACAGACAACAGATAGTAATGATTCCTTTACTAGCATCTTCTAAACCTCAAACCAACACTTCAGTAGGATCTATGACAAAATGAAAGGCGTTATGGCATTAAAATTTACAGGGTTTAGCCAGGGCATAACTCAGGACCGACTTCTTATTGTAATAAAACATGAACCATAAGCTCCAAAGCAGGGGAAGAAGCAAGGGGAAGCCACCACCTATAGTCATTTCTGCCTTCATCTCCAGATTATGTTCAAAGAATTACACCCCATTATTTTTCAAACACATGCATTACATTAGAAATATATTTTCCCATCATTTCCTCATATCACAAACGGAAATATCCTTGCACAATCAAGCTAGTGAACCTCATAAAGCATCCCTCAATTGCTGCAGGATCTCTCAAATTAACCATTCCCTTGAAAGCATCTTCGAAATCTAAAAAGCAAGTTTATTTTCACCCTTCTTTGGTTTCTAGACACTATTTCGGCATAAAGACAAGCAAATTATGCACAACTAAATCAAGTGATTACTTCTAAAAAGGTTCAAATCCAATTGAATTACACATATACATATTCAAATACACAAACAACCGACTAATCCCATTATATCATCAAGTTGCAATCATTTCTTCAGTTTCACTAAATGGATTTTCATCCCTCAGCAGAATTGCATACTATAGACTTCAAATCCTTTTAAGTTTCTGTATCCACTCCTCACTTTCATAGACCCATCCATCATCAGTCACCAATCCATTTCAAACCATGCTTTTAAAAACAATATAATTACATCCCAAATGAACCCACCAAATTTAGACTAGATAACTCTTCTTAAGCTCACCAAGTTAAGAACAAACTGTAGCAGGAGATAGATGTTGTGTGAAACACAAATTATGCATGCATAGTATAAAGAGGGTTAATTATGAGAAACACATTACAATTTCTTAAATTACATGTTCTCCCATATACATTTCTGCTCATATTCATCATCTCCAGACAAGAACATGCTTCATTTTAAACTCCACACCCATTAACAGTCAACTTAGGGACTAAAATCTAAATAAGTGGGCACAAAAAGGAAAATTTAGATAAACAGTCATGACAAAAAAACAACTTTAAGTGTTTATTCAATTGCTCCGATGTATTTCTAATTAATAAAAAATCCACCAATATCAAGCCCAGCCTAATGAGATCAGAGTTATAGTTGAATTTGTCATCCCCAGGCTAGCATCTTAAACACGATATGCTAATTTATTCCTCGTATATACTAACATGTATTCTGCTGCCAAACCAGTTAGTCAAAAGAGAGAGCATTTGTGTTTGAAAACTTGCTTCTGGTTTAAGCAATTATGAAAGAAAAAAATTAGTACATTTATTTAGAAACCCTGGGCCAAGGGAGGAATAGAAGTGATAAAACTCTTGCAAAACCAGCATATATCTGATTTGGCATTGTTTGACTAAATCAATCTTCTAGGAGTAACACGTAGCCATGCCTCCCTCAAAATGATTTTTAGATCCCAAAATCAAGACCATTTAATTTTTATTTATAATTCTGCTTGATCATTTCATTCATTCTTTGTTTTTTATTTATTTATTTTTGCACAATTAGGTACATGCTAAGCATGTCTAAATCCAAGTCAAACTCTTAAAATAAATGGCATACGTTCTTAACAGCTGAAGGGCCTCTCATAATCACAATATGGCTTCCTTTAAAGAATCTTCTAAATCTCAAAATCAAGTTTATTTCACTTCGCTGGGTATAAATCATTAAATCCCAAACTCAGATGTACGGTGTAAATATTAGAATAAAACCATAAGAATTCGAACCAACAAATCCCATCAAATCAACAAGTTCCAAATATCTACAAGCGGTAGTTTAACCTCTAAAATTCTTATCCCACGCCCACCAGAACTCCTACGCTAAATGCTCCAAGTCTTTTATGCCACCATTTTCACACACCCCTATCATAAGCCCATTCACGACAAGCCAGCCAATCCACTCTAACCAACCTTTGAAAAAACATTATTTCATCTCAAATACACCCAAAAACCTAAAACCAATTATTTTTCTTAAGCTATCAGCTTCCAGCAACATCACACACTCCTCAATTATGGATGTATCCTAAACCTACAATTCTAGCAGGTGATATCAGTAATTGCATAAGCCCAAAAATTATATAACAAAAAAAATTAAAAAAAAAAGGAGCAGAATTATAGAACACCATGTTACAATTCAAATTCCTTGTTTTCCTACACTAGTTTTTACTCATATTCAACAGCTACACACAAAAATATACATCACCTCAATCTCCACATCAATAAACAACTCAATTAAAGAATAATTTTAAATGACACTAACTGATAAATAAACAATGGTTCAGCACTACCAGTTACTTCTATCTAATAATGAGCTCCACTGATTTTACCCTAATCCACGTAATTAAAAAAGAGCAGAGTAAATTACTAAATTGAAGATTCAAAATTATAATTTAGTAAAACTATTTGACTAACATGTCCAACTTAAAAACAAAAAAATGAAAAAAAAGGCTCAAAACTCACTTCTCATCGAGCTTGTTAAGCTCTTCTTCATTCTTAACTCGCATTGAATCCAAAAGACTCTGATCTCTCTCTAGCAATGACTCCGCCACTAGGGTTTCGTACAAAGGAACCATATCTACTCAGAAAAAACAAGAAATTAAACGAGTTTGGTTAGATTAAAGACAGTAATTAACCACTGAGTCGCAACTCGGCAAGTAATTACCGTCAGATTTGATAGCGGTCAAAACCTCCTCCTTCAAGCGGACCTTCTCGATATCTTGGACGTCATGGTGGGTCAAAAGGAACAGCTTGTGAGCCAGGACGAGATGCGGTTGCTGAGTTCCCTCTTGGTTTTCCATTGTGAATTGTATCGGTGGAGATTCGGCGAGTTGGGTTTCTTGAGATTTTTTTTCGAAAGGGGAGGGGGGTTTGCTTGAGCAAGGAGTAAGCGAGAGAGTGTAGAAAGGGATAAAATTAAGAATTTTGGTCTTATTCTTATAAAAGGGAGGGATGTGATTCAGTGCTGCTAGGAGTATCTTGTTAACATGGTCCTGATGGAGAAACATCGACTTAGAACAATGCTCTTTGTTTGTTTTATTATTATTATTATTATTATTAATTTGGATGTGCGGATTTATTTGTGTGATTTTTAACTAATTTTATAAATTTTAAAATTAATAATTATATAAATTTTTAATAATTATAAATAAATAAACTTAAAACTTAATTAATTGAGCTACTCTTCAAGTTTCAATACTTTTTGTTATATAATTTTATGAATTGTATATAACACATGAAAAGAAAATATTGTCCTTATAAATATTTTAAGGTAGGGAAAATTATCTTTAGATTAGTTAAAATTAAATTTATTTATCTTTAGACTAGTTAAAATTAAATTTTTTTATTAAATTTTAAAAATTACAGCTCACATCCTAAATTAATATAATATAAATTTTTAAATTGGATAAAAAATCAAATTAGACTTCTTTATAATATACATAAACTCAAACAAATAATAGATATAAATTTTCACTCATCCAAGCATAATTTATTTCTTTTCAAATATCTTTTTTTTTATTTTATAACTAGACGAGTCCAAATTAAAATTAAAATCCATCCTTTTTAATTAATTTTCTCTTTTTGTTGAAATCTCTTTCCTTTCTTTTTTTTTTTTGGTTAAAAGCAATTAGTTATGTTTGTTTTTTCTAAATTTCAAACCTCAAATTAAAGCTCATGGAGAACTATAATTTTTAAATACTTTTCAAATTATTAGTAAAAGAAAATTGATTATAAGAAAAGCACATAAACGTTCATTTTAATAAAATTCATTTTAATAAAATTCATTTTAATCTTATATTTTAGATTCCATTGTAGTTGATTGAATTCAATTTAATTTGATATTTTTCCTTTATTTTTTTAAATTAATTTTTTTTTATTTTTATATTTTATTATTTAGTTTCCTTGAGAGTTGACTTCTATTATTTTATTTATTTTTTAGTATGAAATTATCATGATCTTATGATCAAGTTGTGGTTTTAATATGTTAACTTAAATTTATTTTTTATCCTTTTTTTAAATTAATTATTTTTAATTTATCATTTAATATTTAATTTGTTGGTAATTAAATTTTGAAGTATTATTATGATATCAACCATAACTTTATTAATAATATTAACTAATTAAAAAATTATCTAATTGCATCGATCAAAACTAGATTTATCTTAAATCAACAATAGTATTAAATACAACAAGTAACCCATAAATCAATTTAAACTTTAATTTTTTTAATTCAAATTTAAATGATTTCATAAATAACATTAATTGTATAAAAACACATATAATAGCATCACTAAAAACTCAAATTTATCTCAACATCAACAAAATACTCAATTATCAAATATAACACAAATAATCATATAATCAAAACTCAAAATTTATCTCAAATCAACAATACTATTAAATTCAACAAGTAATCAAAAAATCAATTTAAACCTTAATTTCTCAAATTCAAACCTAATTGATTCCATACATAACATTAATTGTGTAAAAACACATATAGTTGCATTATTCAAAATCTAAAATTATCTCAACATTAATAAAATACTCAATTATCAAATATAACACAAATAATTATGAATCAAAACTCGAAATATCTTAATTCAATAATAAAACTCATAAAACTAAAAAATAACAAAGTTATTTTATCTTGATTTTTTAATTGTTGGATGGTGATTCCATCCATTTTCATAGCAAGTAGGCTATCAATCAAGCTTGGCCAAGTGGTTTGCAACCAAATTCTAGTAAAAAGACTTGTGAAGATAAAGAAAAGATGATTCTAAAGTGGAGGATTGAAGGTTGTTTTTGGTTATTAAAGACTATTTTCTTGATGATTTTTTAGTTTTTAGGTTTTTTTTAATAAGTAATAACCATAAAAAATATATGGGTGTTTATATATTTATAATAATTGCGATTCAGATCCATGATTGTATTATGTAATTATTATTTAAAATAATGATTTTTATTAAAAATACAATTCTGAATAGTTGTGGTGCTAAATCATGTTATTTATCTCATTCCTCTGAAATTTTGCACAGGCATTTTTCAAAAAAATTCCTTGATTCTCCCTATCATTTCGAGATCCCGAGAGCTTTAGCACTGAAAACCCTTCTTCAAAGAATCACTAGTTCTACTCCGAGAGGTGATATCGCAATCAACAGATTGGCACGTTGTCTGGGCACTTGTTTCACATCATGATCACTTGTGTTGTATTTTTTAAGGTTGTATTCTAGATTGTACGGACATAGAGGTCTTAATAATTACTAGCTTAGGTATTGAAAAAGCGAAGAAGAAAATGTGTCGGCAGTGTGGGATATCATTAAATTTTTAATTAATAATTTAAAAGATGATGTATTTATTTAATAAAAATATATAAAAAAATTATTGTAAAAAGAGCTGGTAGCAATACCTGGCACGTTGTCTGGCTACCGTAGCACCACTTAAATACCGAAGCAAAAATTGTTATTTATATGGAAATATTTAATTTGATGTATAATAATAATAATAATTTATTATTTAACATTAGATTTATTAAAGATTAAATTTTATTGATTTTTTTATATATAATATGTCTAGTTTAATAATTAGGATTATGAAGAATTAATGTTACCCGCCGTTCTTTTTTATTTTTTATTTTTTTATTTTTTTATTTAATATTGATTTTTTAATTAAAAAACTTTGTAATTTCTTTAATTTTTTTTAAATTAACTCAATCCCGTAATTTAAGTTATGAATTTTATAAGTTAGCATAAATTAAATTTTTTTATTATTTAATTTATATATTTATCACCTTACCTTGAATTGATTACATCCAATTATATACTTTCAAGAGTGTTTTTCTTGTATTATTGTGGTTTTTCTATTTGATTATTTATTATTTACTATTGTCTGATTAAAATAAAATTAATAAGAGATATAATTCGAATCATTTATTTATTTAAAACATGCATGTAATGTAATGTCTAAACATCGTCTTTTTCCAGGAGGAAAAATACAGATCCGTGTCGTGACGCGGAATCAAATCTAGTAAGTATCTATCTTGAGAGCTTATGGCAGTCTAATTTGAAAAAAAATCTCAGTACATCTGCAAAACGCTAACATGATTGAAAGCGCAAGGACAAACTGCCATTCACAAAAAGATCACAAATATACAAGCTGCACATATCATACATATCCCAGGTAGAAGCTGCTAAGTGCTAAGCCTGTGAACCTTGAGAAAATGGTTGCTCCTTCCACACATATCATCACGCTACTTGCTATTTTCTTTTTCTGTTCTGAAAGTTTTTGCCTTTACTAGTACAGCTCAGTCCTTTGGTGGCTCCTTCAAGAAAATATATGCCTTCGGTGATTCCATTACAGACACTGGCAACACCAGTTCTGCGTCAGGTCCTGTTGGTTTTCGCCATGTCTCAAGCCCTCCATACCGCAGCACCTTCTTTCATCACCCCACCAACAGATACTCTGATGGGCGGCTTGTGATTGACTTTGTAGCTTAAACATTGTCCTTACCATACTTGCCAACTTACCTTGGCCACAAGGGCAACGCACCTCATGGGGTCAACTTTGCTGTTGCTGGCTCCACAGCAATAAATCACGCTTTATTTGTCAGGAACAACCTTAACCTTGCCATGACTCCTCAATCTATTCAAACTCAAATGATTTGGTTCAACAAGTTCTTGGAGAGCCAAGGATGCACAGGGGCAGGGTCATCGAGGCCTCAGTGCAAGACAGTACTTGATGATGCATTGATCTGGGTTGGTGAAATCGGAGTCAATGACTATGCATACATTGTTGGATCTTCCGTGTCAAGCGACACAATTAGGAAGCTTGCAATCAATCATCATCATCACCGGATTCCTATAGGTAATAACCGAGCTCTCGTGTTTCTACATGGCAATAATTCCATTCTAATTAACAAGCAAGATCAATACTGCTGATGATATCATTTATGGTACTTGACTTTATGAAATTACAGGCATTTCTGAAGAAAGGTGTAAAAATATTGTTGTTCAAGGTCTGCCTCCTACAAGATGCTTGCCACTGACAGAGATGATTTAGGCTGCGTGAAGACTAAACAATCAATCCTACACCCATACTGTTGTTTACCAAAAGACGGTGCAAGATCTCAGGAAACAGTTCCCTGATGAGTCATTACTTATCTTGACTGCTGGAATGCTTACCTCATGGTTATGAAGAATCCGAAGAAGTACGGATTCAAAGAGCCATTCATGGCATGCTGGGGATCAGGAGGTCCACCCTACAATTTTAAGTGTTTTCAACATGAATGGCTCATCTGATGCAAGTGCCTGCCCAAACCCTCTCAGTACATTAACTAGGATGGAGTTCATCTCACTGAAGCCATGTATAAAGTGCTCAGTCGCATGTTTCTGAGTGAACACAGTCATCCTCCATTTGCTTCCTTGAGGGGCAGGAAACAGCACGAGTGAATTGTTTTTGTAAATGAGTAAAGAAAAAAATGATGTATATCCCACATTTTGAAAGAAATACTCCCTCCTAATGTTTATAAATGAGTTTTCATTGTGTACTAAATTAAGCTATGATGGGATAATTTTTTTAGTAGGTTTTCTAATTTTATTATATAAATATTTATAATATAAAAAAAGAGCACTTTAAACTTAATATGTGATAATTTATGGCTGATTGATGTACAAAAAAAATACAATAAACATTTTAAAGACATTATTTTTACAACTCCAAGTCAACTTTATACGTATTTCCATCCTAAATATAATGCTAACATGATTGGAAGCGCAAGGACAAAACTGCCATTCACAAAAAGATCACAAATATACAAGCTGCACATATCATACATATCCCAGGTAGAAGCTGCTAAGTGCTAAGCCTGTGAACCTTGAGAAAATGGTTGCTCCTTCAACACATTTTTCTTCCCAAATTACACTAATTGCTATTTTCTTTCTGTTCTGAAAGTTTTTGCCTTTACTAGTACAGCTCAGTCCTTTGGTGGATCCTTCAAGAAAATATATGCCTTCGGTGATTCCATTACAGACACTGGCAACACCAGTTCTGCGTCAGGTCCTGTTGGTTTTCGCCATGTCTCAAGCCCTCCATACCGCAGCACCTTCTTTCATCACCCCACCAACAGATACTCTGATGGGCGGCTTGTGATTGACTTTGTAGCTTAAACATTGTCCTTACCATACTTGCCAACTTACCTTGGCCACAAGGGCAACGCACCTCATGGGGTCAACTTTGCTGTTGCTGGCTCCACAGCAATAAATCACGCTTTATTTGTCAGGAACAACCTTAACCTTGCCATGACTCCTCAATCTATCCAAACTCAAATGATTTGGTTCAACAAGTTCTTGGAGAGTCAGGGATGCACAGCAGCACAGGGGCAGGGTCATCGAGGCCTCAGTGCAAGGCAGTACTTGATGATGCATTGATCTGGGTTGGTGAAATCGGAGTCAATGACTATGCATACATTGTTGGATCTTCCGTGTCAAGCGACACAATTAGGAAGCTTGCAATCAATCATCATCATCACCGGATTCCTATAGGTAATAACCGAGCTCTCGTGTTTCTACATGGCAATAATTCCATTTTAATTAACAAGCAAGATCAATACTGCTGGTGATATCATTTATGGTACTTGACTTTATGAAATTACAGGCATTTCTGAAGAAAGGTGTGAAAATATTGTTGTTCAAGGTCTGCCTCCTCCAGGATGCTTGCCACTGGCCATGGCCCTAGTCCCTGCAGATGACAGAGATGATTTAGGCTGCGTGAAGACTCTATACAATCAATCCTACACCCATACTGTTGTTTACCAAAAGACGGTGCAAGATCTCAGGAAACAGTTCCCTGATGAGTCATTACTTATCTTGACTGCTGGAATGCTTACCTCATGGTTATGAAGAATCCGAAGAAGTACGGATTCAAAGAGCCATTCATGGCATGCTGGGGATCAGGAGGTCCACCGTACAATTTTAAGTGTTTTCAACATGATTGGCTCATCTGATGCAAGTGCCTGCCCAAACCCTTCTCAGTACATTAACTGGGATGGAGTTCATCTCGCTGAAGCCATGTATAAAGTGCTCAGTCGCATGTTTCTGCGTGGAACACAGACATCCTCCATTTGCTTCCTTGAGGGGCAGGAAACAGCACGAGCGAATTGTTTTTGTAAATGAGTAAAGAAACAAATGATGTATATCCCACATTTTAAGAGAAATACTCCCTCCTAATGTCTATAAATGAGTTTCTACGGTGCAGTAAATTAACCATAATGAAAGGAATTTTTTAATAGGCTTTCTAATTCTATTATATAAATATTTACAATATCAAAAAAGAACACTTTAAACTTATTATGTCATTAATTTATGATTGATTGATATACAATTATACTGTTTCAAGTCTATAAAAACTTGTTATTATATAAAATAATAAACATTTTAAAGATAATATTTTTACGTTTCTAAGTTAATTTCATATTTATTTCCATCCTAAATATTTTTAACACCTGATCTAACAAGCTTAGTAATGGTGTATATGGTTAATGAGATCTAGCAATATGTTTGGGTACTTGAGTTGGCAGTTCAAAACATTCATGTAGAAGTCCCCAAATATACTTTGTGTGAGAGATTCTTTCTTCAGTCTTTGACATTTCTTTTCATAATTTAAGACATATTTGAACTCGAGGAGATGCTTCGCTTGGATTTTGGAGCAAGATAAAGAAATAAAGGAGGATGCTTTGCTTCCCAAAATGACAGGGAGATAGATCCTGAAGGAGATTTTATGTAGCTCACGGAAATAGAAAACTGAGCTTATGTTCCTCAAGAAAACATTTCTAGCCTCCTATGAACGTACTGTGATGATATTGCAGCTTTAGTCTTTGAATCATACAAGCGTTCCACTTTGGATATCTCATCAAGAATAGGTTGATAATGCTTCAATGAATTGGATTTCTTCTTGCCTGACTACATTATCATATCCTTGTAAAAGCAAACCCATACATCAGGGCACTTGAATCTCATAACAGAGTGAGTGCTAAAACAAAAATTCAAATATAAATAACTGTTCAAGATAATATGCTGACAAGATTTCAATTTCTTGCAACATGCTTGTTTACAAGAAAAATGATTCTCTCACAACTTTTTGCACATGAAGTTTCCTGGAGCCTGTCAGCAAGGGTGTTTCAGTATAGCATCATATATATCCAATCCCAACTTGATCATATTGGTTATTACATCAAAATACTACTCAATAATGTTAACAGTTGCTGGTAGCAACACTATGGATGGTGACTGCGACCCTAGCCTAAGAAATAACGAGCAACCACTCATTTACTGCCAGATTCAGAATAAAATGATAAATTCGTTTAGTTGCTTTCAAGTCTTATTTTTAAATTCCATCTGATGTATACTTGATGCTAGAATTGTTTGGCATCACCCCATTACCGCCGTCATCTGTGAACCTCGTCAAATTAAAGCAATTTTTCTTAAAATAGATTCATAACTACGTGATTTGCCAGTAGCTTGTGACCTAAAACTTCCCAACTACTTCATCGAAGGGTTGACTTCTGGGTTTAAAGATCATATAGGATGCGCAACACATTCTAGCATAACCAATTTTTCTGTTTTTTACTTTAGCAGACGGCAAAAAGAGTAATCTCAACAATGCAGTTAAATATCAGCCATAATTCTGCCTTTTCTCTTTACCCTGCAATCCTTGTGCAGTTGTGCTCTCTTCTCTAACCCTTCTATCCTCCCCAGTCCCCTCTATAGTTTTCCTCTCAGAACATGCTAAGATCCTATTGGAATTAGCAACAGTACAGGTAGACTCTACTTTAGCATTGCATATTGTCTTGCTTTTATAAGATTCTCCACACTTCTCCGCGTCAACTTCTTTGACAAGGAAATCAATGTGAATAACCTGAGTGGTTGATTGTGCAGGACTAAACATTTCCTGCTCTCAGCTAGAGACTTAAACCTTCAGCAATATGCTGCTGAGGAGAAACATAATGGCTTCAACATTTCGACAATGAAAAATTAAAAGGTACTTTCAACATTTCGACAATGAAAAATTAAAAGGTACTTACAGACCGGGTTCTGAAACGGTGTACAGAAAAAGAGAGAAATAAGGAGAGAGAGAAACAAAAGAGCGTGCCTTTCAGAATATGAAACAGGCATCAGTGCAACAGTTCTACTCATATACTTAGCAGATCACAATTATGTTTCTTCTGTTCTGGTCAGTTGAGCAGGAAATCAAACCATGTCGACATTCTTCACAAACTCTGACCTTTTCTTCCTATAGATTATGTAGGGACATAAACTGAAATTTCAAGTATTCTGAAGATGTGGAATGTAGTAGCTCCAAACTACTAATTCATGATTTCTGTCACGCATGCATGCAATATGCAAGAAACCAAAATACTATATTGATCAACTTGTTCTGGTATCATTTTCATGGAGAATTTTGCAAATTCAAGCTTGACATGGACATCACTAGAGAATACTACACGTAATCATGAACTCACTAAGTGAGAACATAAAAAGTTTCTTCATGCATCTAATGTTTCACCTTTCAACTGAAATGTGATTGTGGAATCCTTTCTCAAAGCAGGAAAAAGAAAAATGCGTGAACAAGCATGGAATTCACCCCTTATACTGAAGGAAACTTGCTAATAGTTATGTTACAATTAAGAAGGTCAGCATGTTAAAAATTAAAGCATCCAAATTGTTCGAAAGATAAAGATCTAAAGATTTCAATGGCACAGCAAAATGCATGACTGGCTTTCATTCTTCAGCATATCATTCTCATAAATCAGTCCAACAGTCAAAGTCAGTTCATGATACCGTGACAAATTCCCAAAGCAACAAGCTTCTTAGAGAATTGGAAGTGGCAGATGTCACCGTTTGAAGGATGTCCATGTTCCTTTCTCTAGCCTTACACATTCCCAATGTCATTCTGAACACAATAGCCGGGGTTTCTTCCATTGATCATCTACATTATTCTGAACAGTTGATAAATTATCAAAGGAATTTCAATGTGGAAACCTAACCAGACTTTATGTCCATGTGATGGCCTGCTTTCTTTTTATCCAAATTTGAAATGTCATTCTCCTTGTCTATCAGATTAGATTAGGTGCTCATAATACATCAGGAATAGATCATCCGGGATATCTTTTGGCAAGTTGTTTATGTAAAGATAGAACCTCAAGATATCTTCCTTTAATACGGTGTTAGTGTCAACCACATCACTACTGCAAGTGAGGACCCAAAGATCTTCTGAATTTACTCTCTTCAGACTGCCTCGACAAAATGGGCAAGATTCTGACCTTGTGTTCCTGCAAAGAATGGGTGTCAAATGTTAAACCTGTGGGCCTTTTCCACTATTACACTTAATGGTGGACAGTATCAGAAATGAAAGAGAAAACAAGCTTTACAAATTACACACCATTCATGGTAGCAGTTGATACACATTGCATGGCAGCAGCTTGGCACAACCATTTTTGTGCAAGGTTCCAAGCAGATCCCACATTCGTCTTCCCTCAGCAGGTTTACATCTGAAAGCTTCCTCCTATCTTCTAGTCTGTTCTTGACAATCATCTCCAGGAAGGGGCCTTCTTCCTGAGTTACGTCTGGCTCCTTTGTATCACCATGAAGACGCTGAAGTGATGGTAATATAACAGCTGCAATTTTGAGCCAGTCAGACTTCAATAGATATATCTAAGCATGAGAACCTAAAAACTTTCCAAACATAGGATGTCAAGATATTATATCCTATAGAGGATTTATCACCAGGAAGTCTTGGAAACATAATTCTTAACAACATTATGGCTTTCAAGAATGAATGCCTGTGTAAAGTTCTCAATGTAACTAATCACTCATGAAAAAAAAAAAAGAAAACCAGAAATATGATGAATGTTATGTAAAGTAATATATGCCACAATTCCCATCCGTGTACCATTTTCTGTATATGTTATCAACAGTCATTCTTTAGATATGAAAACTATGGAGGAAGTACATTTTTTGTACACACCATAGAATTGCCTAATAGTTGTCTTCCGTCCGCACGAAGAAATCTTCGGCTTCCTGTCTGAGCATACCTAAAAACAGAAGTAATTATTCAGATCACCAAATTTAAAGAACTGTTGTTTGATTCCTGAAAAGGAAAAGATAAACTGATTAGTTTGAAAGATTAAAGCATAATAAGCAGGTAAACAGCTGACCGACCTTGTATGCAACAATGTGGAAAAGGTTAAAATAAGTTGAAAGTAGACAGGTACAAGAGCAATCCATCCATTGGAGCAAAAACAGAAAAATGGGTGCCAGGTGATTATAAACCAGTTTCATTTGTAGACAGGAACCACTTTTGGCTCTTGGAATAGAAGCTGCCCTGCAAATGTCAACCCTCAAGTAAATTCACACATGAATGAACCTCAAAGAAGTAGTGTTGCAGTCTTAACAGTCCAGAATTCAGTTATGCTTTACAATGCTCCAAAATCCAAACAAAACATAGAAACTAAAATAGTAGCATAAATGAGGCTCTCTGCAAATTATAGCACACACAACACAGCAGAAACACATATTTTTCTAGAACGAAGGCTCGCTCTTCAAAATGCAAAATAGCTATAAACAGAAGCATTTGCATCATTTCTGGTGTGCCGAGTTTTTTCTTAATTATTATTACAGGCTATAACTTCAATTCATCAACAAGAACTGAGCGTGGACTGTCAACAAACCATAATTGCCCAGATGAGTGTTTTGACAGAGAAAGCCTTGAATTGCACATGTAATCATGGAATTTTTCTGGTTCTCTATAACATAGTATTAACATTACTAGAAAAAAGATGACAGTTTACAAAAGAAACACAACAAACAGGCCAAAAACTTCCTGAATTTCAACAGCAGCAGAATCTCAAGCAACTAAACGAATATAAACAGAAAGGAAAACCAATATCCCAAAAAAGAAAAAGAAAAATAGAAACACTCAGAGAGAACACTCACAACACATTAGCATGCTGAATATCAGCCTCGAGAACCTTAAGGGACTCTTTGTAAGATGACATTGCAGCAAGCTCAAGATAGTCCATCATCTCTCTTACTAGGTTGTGGTCTAAATTTAATTGAATTATTATTTTCAAGAACAGAAGAACAAGTATTCCAAGAAACAAATGATCACAAAAGGAAAGTGGAAGCTTTTCTTGCTTGTTGAACAAAAACAAAAATCAAAGAAATAAAAGGGAAAGTTCGTTCTTTGGAGTCAGAAGCCTGGAAGAGGTGAGAAAGCAAGTGTACTAGGCAACTTGGTCATGAAACTCACAACCCATCACATATAACATGAGAGATTTTTTTTTTTCTCATTCTTTTGTTTTTAAAATTTTCAGTTGATTTTATTTTGGTAAACAGTTAGGATTCATGGTTTGACTTTGTTCTTGGTGCTGGACAGTCTGCCTTTTGGTGGTGCAGTTAGGAGTAGGTAAGCCCTCCAATCAAGAAACAAGCTTTTTTTGGAAAGAAAGAGCTCGGGAAAAAGATAATGTCTTTAAATCCTAATTAATTCATTTTGATCACCAGAGCTGGATTTAAACATTTGCTAATTTCAACCCTTGATAGGCAGAGTCAAGGCTAATGCTACTCTGCTCGACAATGATTTATTGCATGGCAGCACCCCCTGTGAGGTGAAATATGGATTAGTACTAATAACAAATGTTGAACAGAGTGCAAAGAAACAAAAGCCAATCTTCTCAAATGCATCACAATACATGCATTACCCGTAGGTCTATAATCATCCTCCCCTTTTTTTTGTTTTTTTGTAGATAGAGAGAGATGGAGACTTTGACTAGTAAATGGATGAACAACACTTACCCACCTTAATTATGAGGGAAGCATCCTGCATTTAATGAGATAGGACTCGGCATTTCCAAGGCAGAGACGAAAGAATGGTGGTAGTAAGCAGCAAAAGTTTCGCTTTCATTTTCACCATCCTTTGGTGTTAAATTCCAAATTTATCTTCAGCTCAGTTTAATCATGCTACTAGCAAAGATTTATATAATTTAGATTCATTTTTAACTGATCCAGGCTCAGGAAACTCGTTGAAAAATTCCCTCCCCCCAGCTTTCTAAGAAATGGGTTCTCTCGGCTCGCCTCTCTCGGCCTGTAATATGATACAGCCCATCATCTGACAAAGTCATAGAAAGCTCGAAGACCAATCCTTTTAATTAGACATAGATGGGATTCTCGCAATGGGTTTTAGAAAGTGAATCAGGTTTGACAGAAGAATAACATAATGAAAATATATTTTAAAATACTAATATTATTGGAATAAAAACTTTTATTTTATTATGAATACCAATTTATAGAATAAGAAATATAAAAAAACATTACAAAATCAGTTAATCCATCATAAATTAATTTAATTTATTAAAAAATAAAAAAATATGAGAATCTCTCTCATAAAAGTTGAATAAGTTCGATAATAATAATATTATTATAAATTTTAAATATTTTAGTAAGTATTTATACTTTTAAAAATAAAAACTTAAATAAATTTATTATTGTGGTCTAAATTGGTTTACATACAAAACTAACCTAAAAGATATACTAATAAATAAAAGTATGAATCTAAACAAGCTTTATACCATAGTTAAAATCTAATTAATAATTAAATTTAAACAAGCCTTAAGTCCTTGCTCTTTAATCAATTCCAAAAGCATAAATTAAGAATGAGAATCTAAACTACTTAAACTTAAACAGAACAAAAAAAAAAAAAAGATAATTGGAATTAAAATATTTATAGAGCCTCTGACAACTACACATATCCTATTAAAAAAATAATTCTAATTCTTCAATGAATTCAAGCATGTTAGGAATCCGTTTAGGGGTTAAATAGGCCATAATTCATCCTTCTTTCCTGTCCAAATTAACTCATTACATGTTTGGGTTGGGGTTGATTGGGCTGGAAATAACTAATAAAAAACATTTTGTTGACAAATTTGTGAAAATAATAACAATAACTTTGACCAATTTAGGTATCATGTTTCCAATATTCAATTGACATGAAGTTTTATCACAATATAATTTTAAATATATAATATCTTCCTATAAAATTTTAGCTCATTAAAATGTATGGTGTGAAAGATATTTTTAATATTACAAAATTAATCAACAAATATTTTAAAATAAAACTCAAACCTTGGTTTGTATACATCATGAACTGACTGCTTTAAACATTGACTCATTTTTACTTTATCTCTACTTATAATCCCCTCCTTCCATGCAGAAGCTTCTGTACTATATAACTTTCAGGCTAAACTAATGATTTAAATATTGTTAATTTTATATTGGTTTGCTTGAAATAACATATATATCCCATATTATTTTTAAAAAAATAGAACAACAAGAAATATATTTCATCTCATTATGAATCCTAGTTAATTTAAGATTTTTTGGCTAAATTCCAAACAGGATGTTCTAGTTTCATCCTATTTGTTTTATTCTGTGAATAATTTTTTAATTTTTTTTAATTTTATTAATCAACACTTGGTTTATAAGAAATTAGATTTTATAATTTGTTATGGTTTGCTTTCTTTCTGGTTATTTTAGTCTCATGGTCCATGTCATGAGTTTGACATGTGAAATTGAGTTTAATAATTTGTTTATATTTACTTTATATAAAACTATTACGGTCTTATGATCTAGGTCATGGATTTGAAAGATTAACGCAGGTTGACCTAAGTCAATCAAATATGTTATTGATTCAATATTTTTTTTTAAAAAATATCATCTTGAATTATGTTTAGTTAAATAATATTTTTACAAGTTATTCAGGTTGTCTTTAGATTCATCGAGTCAACCAAATCAACTTCTATATAGTTTAAATTTTTATTTCTACTAGAAAAACATTAGCTTCGCTTGGATGTTTCTTTTTATTTTTTTAAGAAAATTGATCTAATCTGTATCATAACATGGATAAGAATGTTTAAATTTTAAGATTATATTTAGACACTTTATATTGTATTTGAAATTTGAATTGTTTAATTTCAAGTTAATTTATTTTTGGATTTAATTTGAAAGCATATATGTTGAATTAATCTTTTGAATTATATATATAAACAATACAACTCTAAAATAACATTTTGAAATGCTTTGAAACTAAAATTTATTGTTTCAGTTAAAAAACAGAACCAATTAGATCAAATTTAATTATGTTCGTCACAATTCATGAAGCAAGTATTTGGATAGCTAGGATAAATTAATTGTCATTTTATTTTATTCTTTCTTTATTGAATTCAAAATCTTTTTTTCTTGTTGTTATAATATTATATAACAACAAACTCTATAACTCTTACTCTTGGTGTTTTTGTTGTAAAAATCTACAATGAATTTTTTTATATATATAATTTAGTTTTCAAACTTTGTTTCTTTTCAATTACATCTTTTTATGGCTAGGTTCAAGATCAATTTATCAAGAATTTTTAAGGAGGGGCATAATTAAAAAGGAGAGGATCAAAGTGTAAAACAAGGATAAAAATGGTGGTGATTAAAAAATGGAGCAAAAAATTCACTCTAGTCGTTTTGCTTTTTAAATTGTAACTTTTCAGTTCCTCAATATTTTAAGAATTCAATTACGATACAAACTTTATTTTTCTTACTTTTCAGTTCCTCGTTTGAGAGAAAAAAAAAGTTATCAAATTCTAATGGTAGATAAAGATAATTGTCGGATTTTAATGGTAAAAAAAGAGAATCTTAGTTGATATCGATTTAATTCAAGAAAAAAATTGATTTTGATGTAAATGAATTTTATTTGATAAAAAAAGTATTACTTATATGTTTTTTGGAACTTACATCACTTGAAATAGTAAATATGAGTATGAGAAGTTTTTGGTTTTAGTTTATTTTTAGAATTTTGAACCTGTTTTTGGATTATTTGATATTATATACAAGTTTATGAAGATGTATAGAGTGTTTGAGTCAAAATAAATGGAAAATTAATCTTTATATAAAAAAGTTATCACCTTTGATTTTTTGATCATCCTAATAGTTGAAATGTAAGGAGAAATAGATAATATGTAACTTGTTTATATATTTTTTTTTTCAAAAGTCACTTAAAAACTAAATATTAAAAAAGATTAGTCTAGAAACACAAACTTGAGATTTTTTACCTGAGATTTTTTACCCTAGGCATGTCGAGCCACCCATACTATACTTGTGTAGCTAGATTTTTTTTTTAATTTTTTTTTCTAATGTTAGGTTTTTATTAATTTTTTATTAGATTTTCTTTTTATTTTAATAAAATTTTATAGTGTTTTTTAGTGTAATGCAATTTTATTTTCACTTAATTTATGAATAGGAACTCAATTGTTTTTGTTGTGATATTAAAAGACATTTTTTACTTAGCTCAACTTAATTTTTTTTCTTTAGTTTTATTAAATCACTTTTTTAAATCAATAACTTTAAAAATTTATAATTGAGAGGTGTGAACTTTTATAGTGTTGCATAAACAAATTACAAGTAATTTCTCAAGCTATCAATTTTCAAAATTATTTTATTAAAATAAAATGTTAATTAAATTAATTTTTATAATTCAAATAATTTAATTTAAAAAAAAACATTAATCGACAATGCTCCTATCAAGTGAGACAAGAGTTAAATTTTATTTTTATTTTTATTTTTTTTAAATTAATATATTTTTAATATTTTTAAATTATTTTAATGTATTGATATCAAAAATAATTTCTTTAAAATAAAAATATTATTAACTTATAATTTAGTATAAAAATTATTTAAAAAATAATCATTATATTGACAAACAAGCTAAAGATTTCCCTAAATGAAACGGTGTCGTTCAAGTGATAAATAAATAAATAATACTAGGTCGGGAAGAGGACGGACGGCAGGAGCACGCCGAGCACGTAAATGGAAGTAGCAGCAGTATAAATAGTTTCTCATGGATGGAAAACCAGTTGTGCAAACAAATATAGAGTCTGAAAGAGATTCCTCTCCTCTGTTCACTTTGGTTTCCTACACGCATAGATTCTACTAGCTCAAAACTCTCGAGGGTTTCCACCTACTTTCTCATAACAGCCAGAAAAGGAGGCACCACCTTGTAAGTTCTCTCCTCCATTTTTTCTTCTTCTTTTTCTGCCTTTTGGTCTCTTGATCACTTTAAAATCTTTCTCGATTTTGGGGTTTCGTGGTTTCTTAACCCCTTTAACACTCTCACTTTTTTTTGCTCTCTTCAATGGACTAGGGAGATGTTGTGTTTATAAGAAAACGCTACTGCATGGTTGGAATTCGGGAACCACATCCACCTTAATAGATCAGAGAGCTAGCAATATTCTTTTCTTTTTTTATCTTTCAAACTCTCGTGGGTTGTTTCTCATACCGTGGATTTGCCCCGAAATCATTCCTCTAATTACTTGATTTAGGCAAAAGAAAAGGAAAAAAGATGTATACTTTGAAGGAAAGCACATTTCATGGACTTTTTTTTTCGGATGTTGTCTTGTCTTGGTCCCACCCTGTTCCCTTATAGGAATCAGAGGTCAGTGTTGCTAAATGCCATGGTAGTAAGTTGAGCTTAGGTCATCTAAAATTTCATGTTCTCTCCATTACTTTTAGAATATATGCATCCTTCTTTTTTTTCTTTTTTTTGTTATATAGATAGCTTGTTTCCTCCTTCGTATCATTTTGGCGACAGTACTTTTTCATGCCTTGTTATGGACATTATTTTGCCCTA